GGAGTCTCGCTCTATTGCCCAAGCTGGAATTCAGAGGCACCATCTCTGTTCACTGCAACCTCTGCTTCCTGGGCTCAAGCAATTCTCCCACCTCAGCTGCCCGAGTAGCTGGGACTACAAGTGTGTGCCACCACTGCCTGCTAATTTTTTGCATTTTTTGAAGAGATGGCGTTTTGCCATGTTGCCCAGGCTGGTCTCAAACTCTTGGGCTCAAGCTCTCTACCTGTCCTGGCATCTCAAAGTGCTGGGATTATGGGTGTGAACCACCATGCCAGGCCGCTAAATACATTAAATGCATTATATAATTTCATTCTCACAACCCTGAGAACTAAGTACTGTTACTATGTCCATTTTTTTATGAAGCACAGATAAGGTAAATAATGAGACCACAAAACCTAAGTTTTTAAATTGATACTTTAATTATGATAATTCACCAAGTGCATGTCTCCCACGAATGTCTTGCTACGACAGCATCAGGTCTGAAAAAATGTGGTTGCTTTGGCATTTCATCAGCATCTTGTGCCATTCACAATAACTTTGAATATTGTTCCTAATGAGGATATACATTCTCTGTACCTTCATCGAATTTAGCATGATTCCTCTGGCTATTGAGAATAGTCATAGCTACTGGAACTAAACTGGATAAACTTGGATAAGTAAGTAAAAGTTTTACTTATTTTTAATTTGTAAAACATCCTGGTTATAATGTTACAATGTCAGAAAAGGTCCTAGACGGTTGAGCACAGTGGCTCACACCTGTAATCCCAGCACTTTGGAAGGCCAAAGTGGGCGGATCATGAGGTCAGGAGATTGAGACCATCTTGGCTAATACGGTGAAACCCCGTCTCCATTAAAAATGCAAAAAATTAGCGGGGCATGGTGGCACACACCTGTAGTCCTAGCTACTTGAGAGGCTGAGGCAGGAGAATCACTTGAACCCAGGAGGCAGAGGTTGCAGTGGGCCAAGATTACGTCACTGCACTCCGGCCTGGGCTATAGAGTGAGACTCCATCTCAAAAAAAAAAAAAAAAAAAAATAGAAAGAAAAGGTCATAGATATTTAATCCAACACCAGCATTTCATAGGTAATGACTTAGGTCTAGCTGGTGGGAGTAATTAGAATAGGATCACAAATGGACAGATCAGGACTGGAACCCACATCTCTTTCTGACTCATTAGTTTATTGAATCCAACACCAGCATCTCATATGCAATGACTCAGGCACAGCTGAGAGTAACTAGAATGGGATCACATAAGGACAGATCAGGATCAGAACCCACATCTCTTTCTAACTCATTAATTATAGTTGATAGAGATCACATACTAACCAAAGTCTGTAGCATGGAAAAAAATTAATGAGAATATTCATAAGTGAGTGTTGTTTATACTGCTATCAAGAAGGATAATTGTTGGCTAATGTGAATATTACATACTTGTATTGGAGAATAGTAGCAGCACTAGGCAGTATTGTACTGATTCCCGACCCTCACTGCACTTTAAAAATCACTGGAGGAGACTTAAAAAGAAATACCTAGGCTCACACCCAGGAATTTAGATTATTTGGCTGCATCGAGATAAAAGTTTTTTGGGTGATTCTCATATGTAGACAAAGTTAAAGACTACTGAAATATTGCCTGCATTGTACTTAAGCCCAAGACATGAAGTGAAAAATTTGTGAAATTCAGAAGTATCCTAATGTATTCTTTTGTGTAATATTAGAATTTGTATTTTTTGTTTGACAAATTTTTTTTTTTTTTTAAGAGATGGGGTCTTCTAAGACAAAAAACATCTGACTCAGCAATACCATTACTGGGTATATACTCAAAGGAATGTAAATCATTCTATTATAAAGACACATCCACACATTCATTGCAGAATTATTCACACAATAGCAGAGAAATGGAATCAACCTAAATGCCCATCAGTGATAGACTGGATAAAGAAATGTGGTACATACACATTGTGGAATACTACGCAGCCATAAAAAAGAATGAGATCAAGTCCTTTGCAGGGACATAGATGGAACTAGAAGCCATTATCCTCATCAAATTAACATAGGAAAAGAAAGCCAAGTACTGCCTGTTCTCACTTACAAGTGGGAGCCAAATGATGTGAACATATGGACACATAGAGGGGAACAACACACGCTGGGGCTGGGGCCTATTGGAGGGTGCAGGGTGGGCGGAGGGAGAGGATCAGGAAAAATAACTAATGGATACTAGGCTTTTACTTCATTGATGAAATAATCTGTACAGCAAACCCCCACAACATATTGTTGTGGGGCATTGCTACCTGTGTAACAAGCCTGCACATGTACCCCTGAACCTAAAGAGATAGGGGGCTTGCTATGTTGCTCAGGCTGCTCACAAACTCATGGGCTGAAGCAATCCTCTAGAGTAGCTGGGACAGTAGGCACACATTACCATACCTGACTTGATAATTTTACCTTAAAAAACAAAAAAGTCAGTGTTTCTGTTTTTTGTTATTTCTTTCCTCAGCTCACTCTTAGATTGTGTAGTTGTAAAATCACTAACATTTAGTCAGCTCTAAAGTTTAGGATTTTTGATATCTTAATATTTTTGAAATCTAGATAAGTCTCAAAATTGACAGCCAACCCAACAGGAGTAAATTGTGACATGTTGGAATGTGTCCCTTTGTACAAGATAGCTATTTGCAACTCTAGAACTGTAAATTGTTGAACTGGAGCTCTAATTGCCACTGAAAGTACCTTCAAATAACATTGTAGTGCATCATTGAAATAAGTTAATTGTATTCAAGGAAAATTTATTGTGAGCATTCATTCATTTATCAATTCCAGTAAGTCCTAGGCTGCATGTTAGGTGACTATAGCACTTTAAAAACTAGGAAAAATCACAAAACAGGTCAGAATTTTCTAATTTGAGAGAAATTGATATAATAAACTAATATGTCATGAATGACTTAACACTCAAATACAAATATATAAGCTTCCAATTGACTTTCAAAAGAACTTATTTAACTTCTAAAAATTCATAATTCAGGTAGGAAGAAAATGAAACTATGAATAAAATAAAATGGAATGTAGACAAATCCTGGTATTATTTTACATGTCTTAAAATTCTGGAAGTTCTAGAGATTAAGAAAATGAATGTGATGCTGTTTGTGATTGTCATTAGCTGACAGTGATGCAGAATAACTTAGACTCTTAATGAAAAGAGGACTTAGGGAATTTAGGTTTTCATTTTATGCCAAGTGATTTTTTTGTTGTTAGCTAGTGGAACCACTGTTAGTAATATTAAGTTAACAATTTTAGAGCTTGAACTAGAAAAGATGTTCTGAGGCTGGGCGTGGTGGCTCACACCTGTAATCCCAGTACTTTGGGAGGCTGAGGTGGGCGGATCACCTGACGTCAGGAGTTGAGACCACCCAGGCCCACACAGTGAAACCCCGTCTCTACTAGAAATACAAAAATGATCTGAGCGCGGTGGCACATATCCGTAGTCCCAGCTACTCGGGAGGCTGAGGCAGGAGAAGTGCTTGAACCCGGGAGGCAGAAGCTGCACTGAGCTGAGATGGCACTGCCACTGCACTCCATTACTGTAGCTTGGGCAACAGAGTGAGACTCTGTGTCAAAAAAAAAAAAAAAAATTATATATATATATATATATATATATATATATATATATATATATATGAGATGTTCTAATGGTGATACCGATAAATTTTTAGTTGGTTCAACTTTTGGGCATTTTGTAAATTTATAAATTAGGCAATTGTGTTTGTGTGTTATTTGTATGTGTAGAATTCCCCTTCATACCCTATTATACTGTAATAAATCTGCTAAAGGGTTACTTTAGAATCATTACCTGGTTGGATTACGGTCACATTTGTGAGCCTAATCTCACTAATGAAAAATGTGTTTTAGTGGCTCACATCTGTAATTCCAACACTTTGGGAGGCCACAGTGGGAGGATCCCTTGAGCCTAGAAGTTTGAGACTAGCCTGGGCAACATAGAGAGACAAATAACCAGCTGGTGTGGGACATCCTGGGATAGATAATCATTTGCTTCCAATGTGAAGACAGCCACCCTATGAAGGTCAAACAAAGAAAAAAAAGGAGAAAAGAAAAACGCCTTTATGGGGATGAGGACTTTGAGAAAGCTGCAACTCTAGAAAGCTGAAACACCAACTAAATGCCCTTTTCTAGTCCTTAACATGACACTAAAATATTTATTAAATATCACAGGACATTGAGTGTACTATTATAATGCTCTTAGGACTTTGTTTGAACATCATTTGGGGAACTTCAGTTATAGAAATTTATCACTTGATTTTGGCACAATTTAATCATTGTGGATTCTGATAATTTATAAAAAGTATATCTTCATTATCACATAGATGGGAGAGCTGATGTGTCCTTTAAATGATTGTTTGCAATGCTTCCAAATACTACAATTCTTTATTTCTTATATGTGTTTTTAAAAATTAAGACTGGATTTTACTATGCTGCCCAGGCTGATCTTGAACTCCTGGGCTTACGTGATCTTTCTGCCTTTGGCCTCCTAAAATGCTGGAAATGAGCCCAACCACAAGTGTTTAAATCAGTAACTTTTTTTAAGAGATGGGTCTCCCTGTGTTGTCCAGGCTAGTTGTGAACTCCTGAGCTCAAGTGATTCTCCCACCTCAGCCTCCCAAAGTGCTGAGATTACAGGCATGAGCCATCAGCCGTGTTTTTTTTTTTTAATTATACATTTAAAAAAAAAAAATTAAGTGGATTTGGGGAAGATAAATGCAAAGCAAAGCGTTTTAAGTAGAAAAATATGTAAACTAGATCAGCTTATTTTGTATGGTTCATGCCTTTAAAATTTTCTCTTTAGTATAAACTTTTCTGATAATCTAATGGTAGACACCTAAAAGTAATGTTTTGATACATTTTAAGGTTGATGTTTCCTAATCAATTACTGGCTACCAAACCTGGCTCAAGGTTTTTAGACACCAACATAAGCATTCCATTAAATGATACTAATTTTGAGAGGCAAGTGATGGCAACATTTCCTGGATCAATTCCTCCTGCCTTAAGGATACTCCACTGAATTTGATTATGGTACATACTATGTTTGCTTTTATAAATTACTTAGGCCAACACTTGGTCCAAGTTGTCTTTGTAAATGAAAATTATAAATATTTAATGTGCTTTCAGTTACATCCGTATTTCTTCTGATGGATGTTTGCAGACAGCTTTATCTGGTGAGACATTCTATTATTTGTAAAATTTAAGTTAAGCAATATTACCATTTCATTTAATTCCAGTTTAGCACAAGTTTTTCCTTTGTATACAAATCTCCACAAGAGCATTTAACACATTTCTGTATTTAGAAATGTAAATATGTATTTAAAAGTAGATAGCAAATTAAAAAGGAATACTTGCTTGAAATCATAAAATATAATACAGTTTCTTTTAAACAGTTAATTTTCTTCCTACAATTTACTTTCATTGAAAGTATGTTATCATTGTTTACATACTAGATAGAAGCAATTTAGCAACATAAAATATATTAGCTATAGTATGTTCAAAAGAATGAGATGCAGATTCAGAGATGAAACCATCATTTTTTGCAGTTTTTAAAAAAATGCTGATCCCATTGCAGCATACACTAATTATCCAGGCTTTACATTTTAGGGCTGAAACCCTGAAGAACCTGAGGGTGACTGTTTAGCACGGAGCAGAGTTCAGGTCCATGTGCTTCCAGAATTAAAAGCTAAAGCAGACCAATTGAGAAACAAACAAAAAACCAACATCTTTGAATTTTTGAGTTTTTACTTGTAATCATAGGCTTTCCCATATTATTAGAATGTCTGTACCTTAGCTATTTTACCAGGAAAATGCTAGTACAGTCACTTGTTTAGAAGCTGGAAAAATAACATTTTTTCTTTTTAGAAATTACTAAGTTCTGTTGGTGCTACAGCTGATCCTTCTTCAGTTCCAGAGGCTTCTTCTGGTGTCTGTAGCTCTTGACAGTGGTACTTCACTTTAAGTGGTTTGCCAGGGTACCAGACCAAGTGAATACGACAGGGAATTATTTCCTAGGAAATAAGAGTTATAAAATATTATGATCTGCAAAAACTTACGGTAAAAACAATTCTACATACAATTTTATGTTTTACCTGTGTTGATAATTCATGAAGTAGAACAGTATAATCAAAATCAATTGTATCATCATTAGTTTTCTAGAGGGAGAAAAAAGAGTTAGTATAATAAATATGGTGGTATTTGGTGTAATAAATATACAATACATTCTTATTTTGAATGGATGCCTTGACTCTCCTACTGCCTTTTAGATTTCAGCCTCATGGTTTTTGGTAGTATTTTGCTTCAAGATATGGAAGTCATTGATCCTCATTTTTGTCTTGTCACTGAGTTACATGAAAACCTGGTTGAATGTCTATCACTTTTTCTCTTTAATATTCATAGTTTCTGATGGAGACTGAGTCTGTGGAGATAGGGAGATTCTTTTAACAACCTTAAGGATCTAGATACTGTATATGCACCTCAAGCTGATATATTAGCCCTGATATAACAGACGATAAGACAAGGGGAGAAACAACTAGTAATTCTAGAATGCCTACCATGGACTAGGCTCTGTGTTAGGCACCTTCTACATGTTCTCATGTAATTCTCCTTTACGATCTATGTATTATGAGCCTAGTTTTACAGGAGGGGTAATTTGAGGTTACAGCTAGGAAGTGACAGATGGGAATTCCAACTCAGATCTACTGACTCTAGCACCCATATTCTTCATATATACTACATGAATCTATACCACACTGCTTCTAAACCCAGTGCCTTAAATATTTTTCAGTAGGCAGGCAGTTGTCTTTACCTCTTTTATTCACAGTGTTTCTATACATTTTACTAGTGACTAAACCAACTCCATATTTTCTTTTTGACATTTCCTTTAGGTTGCTTATCTGTTCACAAGTAAAAATGGAAGAGAGAACATTTTTTAAAAATAATCCCTCAATTTGGTTTATAATTTTAGTCTTCCTACAATGGAGTACTCCATTTTTCTGAGAGAAAGAGAATGAGTTACTTAAAAAACCTTTTTTTTCTTTTCTCTTTCCTCCTTTTCCCCTGTTCTCCCCTTCCTACTCAGCTCTTTAGATATGGAATCATAACCTTTACTTTCCCTTTTACCAGATACTCCCTGCATGGCAAGCTTATGTATGTGCTCACTCTAAAGCTCGAGAGCTGGAACTCTCTCCCACCAGGAGAAGGCACCTCAGTTAGGACCATGAGGGAACTCTGTCTAAGTATCTTGAGACAACGGCCAGCTTACAGTCTAGCTCTGCCCACATGGCGCCAGCTCAATCACCCAGTAGATAAGGTATTCAAGCCAGTCACATAGACCCTGCACCTGCTCGCTTCTTCCCCTGCATGCCATTCATGCCAAGTCCCCCTTTAAAAACCCTTGCTTTTTGTCCCAAAAGGGAAACAGTACCTTAAAGGCAGGAGCCTGTACTTATTCCCCTAAGCTAGCTTTGGGATAAAGTCACTTTATTTATACCAGACCTCACATTTGTGAATTGGACTCTGCAAGCAGCAAACGACTAAACTTGTGTTTTCGATATATTACCAGGTTTGTGTTAAGACTACTAAAGAATACAAAAAAGCAACCCCCCTCAAAAAAAAAAAAAAAAAAAAAAAAACACACACACACAGTTTTGTCTCCCCTTTGCCTACACTGATGAAGATTTTTACAAGCCATGAAATTTCCAGTAGGTGAGGAAGTCTGGAGGGAGAAGATAGAGGAGAGGGCCTGGGTAAATCAGAAAGCAACTGCATCTTCTGTCTTCTTGGCAATACTGGGTAGGTTTCCCTCCTGTCTCACAATGTACCCACAAATGTTCAGAGCAAACATCTGAGGCACAAGCAGCAAAGTTAGAGAATTCATGAGAGAAGATTCAGTGTCTCTTTCATAAGGGAACAGTTACTGGAGGTTCCAGTGATTAGTTTGGCATTGTCACTTTGAGGATATGTTTAGCCTTGTTTGACCTCCATTTGGTGGCTATCTTGACCTTGGAAGGAAACAGTTATCTATCCCAAGATGTCCCACACCAGCTGGATATTTGTCTCAGACTTCTGTGCTGTCTGTACTATTTTTCAAGTCTTGACTGTTTATGATATATTTTTATAATTTAAAAATTGGTTTTAGGCTGGACATGGTGGCTCACACCTGTAATCCCAGCACTTTGGGAGGCCAAGGTAGGAGGATCTCTTGAGCCCAGGAGTTTGAGACCAGCCTGGGCAACATAGTGAGACCTCATCTCTATTAAAAAAATAATTGTATTTATATATATTGGTTTTACTTGTATACTTAAAATGTTTTTTTGAGAACAGTGTCTTATTCTGCTTTTGAAAACGACATTTCTGAAGGAAATCATGGCAGTCTCCAGTGAGGCAAAAAAGAGGCTGGAGCTTAAAACAAATGTTAGGATTCCAGCCCCATTTGACAAACTATTTTGCTAAAAGCGCAAAAAGAGTATTACCCATTTTTAAATACAAAAATGTGAGTCATGATAATGCTTGGAAAACCCTGTATCATTTAATTGAGAACTTCCTCAGTAAAGTTATTGAAACATCCCCTTACATTTGTGTTTTTATAGATTCCTCCTCCTTTAAGAGGAACCACCATTAAACCAAAACAAAAAGCACAGCTTATTAAAAAACTGCAGAAGAGGACATTGTGCATTGCAGGCTGGCAAAGTATGCCAGGATTGGACTGCCTTCACTAAGTCAAGCTCTGCCAAGAAGTCGTTTTTAATATTATTCAGAAATTATCTTTTGGCTTCAATTCAGATCATCATAAATGCCAAATCTTGTAGCCCAAATTGATGATGATTTGTTGTTACATTTCCTGGTAACTCGGCACTTAATCTTGTTGGAGACAGACTGGAAGTGTTTTGTTTGTTCCCTTTTGCTTGCTCATGACCCAACCCACCCCATGCCTCTCCACCCTACTTACCCCAAAAGAGAGAGAAGACTAACAGAACCAGGGTGGTTTTAGTGGTGAGGAAGTAGGCTTAAGTTAGTAATAGAAGTTATAAAAAGTAGATTTCAGTATAATAGATAAAGTAGATAAGATGGCTGCTTATGTAGCTTTGGCTAGTGGAGACTTAGGGTGAAGCCGAGCTGACTGATAGTGATGTGCTGCAGGCTAGGTAGTTTGGGCTGCTTACAAATCTGGTACTGATTGACAGGAGTTAGAACAATACTCAGCTTGATTTTTCTCAATTCATATTAAAGGCTAAAGATATGGCCTTATCATATATCCCTTGTTCTTAGCACAGTCTTCATAGTATTGGGAATGACATCTATTCTTCAGTTCTAAGGAAAGAGTTGTGCCAGTAAGATGAGTTATATATTTGCATTTCAAACCTTTTTTTGCAGTCTTCCCTCAGGCCTTGTTCATTTGGACCTGTGAGTTTATAAGCTTGTACTTCATCACACAATTGCATTAAAAGGTGAAATTACCCTGAGTATCAAGACAGTAATTCCCATCCAGAAAGTTTTTGGAAAAATTATAATCTTTATACCTTTTTTTGAGCTACCTTGGGCTAAGAGCACTGTTAAATACAGTAAGAAGTTATTCTTCAAAGGTGTAGCTTTTTTAAGTTTCCTTATTCTTTATTCCCTGCTTTCAAGGCCAGACTTCCTTACTATCGCTGTCTCCCTGCTCTGGTCACAGCAAGCAACTTCCCAGCCAGTCCTTATCTATAGGGCCCACATTCTACTCCCTCTGCAAATTACCCCTCCTGCCAGAATAGTTTCTCCCACCGAAACTGTCCTTGCCCCTAGTGTAACCCCCTCTCTGCACCCTTCAAATTAGCTAACCAGGACCAGTTTAGATTGTGTGGTCCAGCTGCAGCCAATGGAGACAGGACACAGTAGTAGAAACCCATTGTGTTAGAAATAAAAACCTCTTGCTTTCCATTGTTCATGGTGCTCTTGCCATTGCTCTATCTGTGAGATGCACCCTTCTATGGAAGTAAATTTGCCTTGCTGAGAAAATTTATGTTTGAGTTCTATTTCTTTTGTAGCACCAAAATTTGTTTCTAACAAGCACCTCCAGTCATTGCTGCCTCTGCTGTACTGGCTTTCTCAGACCTAGTGTCCTGTTGCTAGTTTCTCAGAACAGTATTTAGAACTTCTGCTCATAGGGTATTTTTTAAAATCATTGATTGTTTTGTCTGTTGCTTGTGTTGCTTCTTTTGATCAGGGTCACAGGAGACCTTAGTGGCCACTGAATGGCAGAATTTGAAAAATCTTTGTGGATATGTGCATACTTTAAAAGAACTCTAAGCTGAAATGCATGTCAACCTTGAAACCAAATTTCCTAATTGCTCCGGTGATTTAAATTTGTATTAGTTTCACTTCAGTCTGTTTGTGAGTCCTCATTTAATAGGCCCTAAGAGATGAAGTGATTTGCCTTGGGTGACCCAGCAAGTCAGCTGCATATTCAACTATTATTTATCTAACACCCAAACACCACAGGGGAAAAGTAAAATCTAAAACTCTTACTCAATGACCATTCTCCCTTTGCATTTCTGTTTTTTAACTGTCTAGTTACATATATGTAATCGCTTTCCCACTTGCAGTTTGGTTGAGTGGAGATATAATGGACATGAAAGACTGGTTAGAATGGGAGAGAAATACAGCTGTTATTCTTTTGTGCCCTGGTATGTCCTAGTGGTAAAAATATCTCATATGCAACTGTAAAAGAAAGGGAAACATGTTAAAAGTCCTAGTTTTTCTCTGTTAGCTCAATGTGTTGCTCTATTCCTATTAAGTTTTCCTAACTGTAAAAGAAAGGGAAACATGTTAAAAGTCCTAGTTTTTCTCTGTTAGCTCAATGTGTTGCTCTATTCCTATTAAGTTTTCCTCTCACATTCACTACAATTAGTTCTACATTATCTTGACGCCATTTTCTACACTTAAAACAACCTGTTCCCCCTAACTTTTCAGGTAAAGTAAAACCCTCTTGTTGAGGATGTGGTCATCTTGGTAGATTGAGACTGTGTCAGAAACAGAGATAGAAACTTATCTGCAAAAGAACTAATACTATATCTTGACTTGTTATATAGCGACAATCAATTAGATGGTAATTTCTATTTACAAGCACTCTATAAGGGGGAAAGACGTGTTCGTTTTGATAAGTAAAGACAAAATCTAGGTTTCTAATTGATGTCTATTGTACATGTGGTCTTTGGAAAGCAAACCAAGCTATTTATTTTTGACAAAAAATGATGGTATAATGCTGGGCAAATCCTGTACTCAGAAGTTATTTACTGATTATCCATCCATGAACAAAACAAATCTTTTAAATTGGTGCTTATGATTGGCTCAGCTTGCCTCCCTAATACTCCCAATACCTTCAACTCTCATCCTGCTCTCAGCTGATGGCTTTGCCTCCTCTTTCACTGAGAAGACAGAAGCAGTTAGAACTTCCACAAACTCCTACTTTGATATCTGCCCTCCTAGTACTGGGCCACTGTTTCCTGCTTTCCCTCTAGGTGAACTCTCCGTGTTCCTGATATCATCTGGATTGATTATATCCTCTCTTGCCTATCAAAGATAGTAACTCTAACAACTTTTCCTTCTCTTTCCTGCAATTCCTACTTTGCCTTTCTCTACTGGACTTTTTCTCATCAACATATAAATATGCTGTTACTTCTCCCAACCAAAAATAAGCAAAAAAAAAAAAAAAAAAAAAAGCCCTTTCAGCCCGATGCCTACCCATCATCCAGCTGTAGTCCTCTTCTCCTTCTTTTTACTATTGTTTATTATAGCTAAATTTCTTGAAAGGACTGAGTGTCCACTTCCTCTCTTCCCATCCTTTCCTGAACCTACCCCAATCAGGCTTTTGTCCCACTGTGCCAGTGAGAGGACTCTTGATAAGCTCTCCATTGACTTCCAGTTGCTCAATCAAATGGGCAGTTCTCAGTCTTTATCTTACCTGACTTTCCAGCAGCATTAATACTAGCAGCCAGTCCTCATCCTTGAGATACTTTGTTTTCCCATATCTCCAACTGCTAAAGTCAGAAGTGTTCCATGATCCAGTCCTTACATAACTTGACTTCATTTTCTACACTTATTACCTGTGGCCTCATCCAGTCTTGTCACTTCAAATACTATCTATATGGTGATAACTAGAGCCAAGACCTCTCCCCCAACTTCAGACTCTTCTGTCCAGATGATTATACAAATTCTCTATTTGGTTATAGAATTTAGAATGCCCCAAATCAAGATAATTTCCCTCAAATCTGTTCCTCCTATAAGCTTCCTAAATCAGTAAATGAAAACTCTATCCTTCCGGTTATTCACACCAAAATTCTAAAAATCATCTTTAACTCCTCTCATGTCTGATATCCATATCCAACCCATAAGCCAATACTGTCACAGAATCCAAGTGTCTTTCCAGCTCCATTGCTACCACCCTGGTCCAAGCTACCACTAGGTCTTGCCTAGAATATTGCAATACTTTTTTTTTTTTTTTTTTGAGACAGAGTCTTGCTCTGTAGCCCAGGCTGGAATGCAATGGTGCGATCTCAGCTGACTGCAACCTCTGTCTCCCTGGCTCAAGCGATTCTCCTGCCTCAGCCTCCCGAGTAGTGGGATTACAGGCACCTGCCACCAAGTCCAGTTAATTTTTCTATTTTGAGTAGAGACAGGGTTTCACCATGTTGGCCAGGCTGGTGTCGAACTCCTAACCTCAAGTAATCTACCCACCTTGGCCTCCCAAAGAGCTGGGTTTATAGGTGTGAGCCATTGCGCCCCACCCAATATTGCAATACTTTACTGGTCTGTTCTTAACATAGTAGCCATAATGATCCTATTGTAAGTCAGATCATGTCACTCTGGTAAAAACCCTCTAATGGGTAAGTGAGTGAAAGATAAGACCCTTTGAAGGGCCTGCAAGGTCTTACATGAGCTGATGCTTTCCACTTGCCCCACTCGATTTGATCTGTCTCCCAGCGGTGCTCCCTTTGTCACTCAGTTCTAGCCACAGCAGCCTCACTGCTATTTCTCCTGCTCTCAGCTGATGACTTTGTCCCATTTCACTGAGAAGACCAAGCAGTTAGAATACAACTTCCACAAACTCCCACCTTGATATCTGTCTGTCCTTTTACCAGCATCTGCGCCACTGTTTCCCTCTAGGTGAACCCTCTGTGTTCCTAAGATCATCTGGATTGATCATATACTTTCCTGCCTACTCAAAGACTTTAACATTGCAGCCTCAGTTCCCTCTGACATTTTCTTTCCTTATGGGAGCGGGGCTCAGCTCACTCTAACTTCCCTTTGGTCTCTACTCCAAAGTTACCTTTGCTCAAATTAGCCTTACTTCAGACTAAGTAGTAATTCTATCAATACCCTACATTCCCTTTTCCCTACCTCATTTTTTTGTTTTTCTTTTCTTTTTTAAGAGACGGCATCTCTGTTGCCTAGGATGGAGTACAGAGGCTCATAGCTTATTGCAACCTCCAACTCCTGGATCAAGCAAAAATCCTCCCACCTCAGTGTCCTGAGTAGCAGGGACTATAGGCATGTGCCACTATATCTGGCTAATTTTTAATTTTTTTGTAGAGATGGGATCTTGCTATGCTGCCCAGGCTGGTCTCAAAATTCCTGACCTTAAATGATCCTCACACCTTGGCTAGTTAATTTTTTTTATAGCATTTACCATCATGTGATACATATTTATTTATTAGTTCACTGTCTCTTTTTATCTTCTTTCCCTAGAATTAATGAGGACAGCAACATTGTGTTCACAGTGTATCCTCAGCCCCTGAAACAATACTTAGCCCATTGCAGGAACTCAAATATTTGTTAAAGAAATGAAATGCGATTAAAACTCTTGAAATGCAATTAGAAGTTCACATGAATTCAGTCTAAGGAGACTGCACTGATTCTTGTGGCACAAGCTAATTTTCAAGTTTTTCTTACCCACTGCCTCACACTAGTGAGCTGTGCCAAGTAGTAGCGTGAAAACTGGGTTGTCATTTCCCACATCACATAAGAGCTTCCAAGGAAAGCCAAATCCCAGATGGGTCTCAGAGAGGGATCAATATGTCCATGATTATCTGAGAGAGACAAAAAAAGCACATTTGTATTAATGCATTTTTGAGACAAAATCTCAGAAGCTTCAGATTTGAAATAAGGTTTAAACTTAGTTATACCTGTCATCCCCCTCACAGTAAGACCTTGAGCCAGACGTGATTTATTTGTATCTGTTTCTATGTGACTTTGTGGATTTATATTCTTCAACTTGCCAAACAGTAAATCTATTCTAAATCAATTTAACAGCCATTTGCTGTACTGTATACATGCAAAATAAGAGCTACGAAGCCTGTGTGCTATCAAGCCTATGTCCACAAAGTATCTTGGACCCATCCTGTCTTCCCCAAACTCACTGCCACCACCCTTCATTCCTGGGCTGCTTCTCCCTGAGACCATGGCCACTGTCGGCTACCAAATCTCTCAGATTTCAGTCTCCTCCTTCCAGCCGTCTCACACCCAGCAGCTAAAGTGACCTTTCCACACTCATTACTGAATACTCAAAATTGACATTCAATTTAACCTAGTCTTATTAGTTAAGAAGCATTTTTTTAAGAGACAGGGTCTTGCTCTGTTGCCCAGGCTAGAATGCAGTGCCACAATTATACTTCACAGTAGCCTGGACTCAAGCGATCCTCCTGCCATGGCCTCCCAAAGTGCTGCTGAGATTACAGGTGAGGGCCACTGTGTTGGCCAAGAAGCATTTTTAATTAGGTTGAAAAGTCTGTCACTGTTATTCTCCACCTTGCCTTCTGGTTTAGGTCTACAGTCAGTGTGATGGTGGTCTTTGCTTCCCAGTCTGCCAAAATATCTTTGTGCTTCTCTGATCATTGGCTTTAAAGCTAATCAGTGTATTGGCAGCATCTCTCTCACTTTTGTTTAACACATGAAGAAATCAGGTAGATTTGTTCTATGGCATTATTTTTGGATCTAAAAATCTTTTAAATTTGGCAAACATCTTTCTTAAAACTTACACAATATCAGACACTGTGAGAGGTAGGGATACAATGACAAATTACTGTTTGTGACTTTTAGGAGCTCAGATTTAATGAGATGACTGTTCATGAACCATCATTTTATGCAATTTTGCAGGGATACTATATTAAGGCCTAATAATAGCACAATACATGAGGAATACTAACAAGCTTATTAGGAAACCAATCCTTTTGGGTAAAATAATCCTTGGCATAAATTCTATTCTGTATTGGTAAACTTGGCTGGTTTATACTCTGAGTATAAACTGTCACCAGATATTGAAAGGCCTTGGTTTATACTCTGAGTATAAACCAGCCAAGTTTTACCGATACAGAATAGAATTTATGCTAATGATTATTTTATCCAAAAGAATGCTCAATTCATTGAGGTAGGGAAAAGGGAACGTAGGATATCGATTATAATTCAAGCAGCATTCATTGATTTCTTGGGATCTGTGCAGGATACCA